CGCAGAGGAGCCGGGGGCGTGGCCTACGCGCCGGGGGGCGTGGCCTACGCGCCGGGGGGCGTGGCGCAGCTGGAAGTGGCCAGACGAAAGCAGAACTATCCCACGGGAAAATAAAAAAAAAAAAGGAAAAGCAGCAGCTTGGGGATTACTAGGGCCGGGGGCAAGTAAAAAACACAACTAAAGAGCTCTGCCTTTTAGATTACGACATTTATTGTCCTCAGAAGGGAGGTCTGATACATAAACACCTTGGAATTTTTATAAATGGCTTTGGTAAAAAAACAACCATGGAAAGGTTATAAAGGTGGTCGTCTCGGTCTTCTTGTAAACCCCCACAGTACCGAAGTTTTACATTTAAGGCATAAACATCACAGTTCATCAAGTGAAGGGCTGACATGCTACATTAATATTTTCATTCACTCCAAATTTATATAAAATAAAAGCATTTTATTACAGTTCAACGGTATTGCTTAGAATTACAAAATACAGCAATGTCTCAAATACTGAAGGTTTCATAAAAGCAGCATTTTTCCTCCCATTCCTATTTTTGAACTGTCCAGAAGATAGCTAAAATAAAAATATTTACCATGTTTCATAAGTCACCGACTTGGCAAAGGGATGAGAAAGCTTTAACCATATAACATTTACATACAAAAGCAAATAAAAAATGGCAGAGGAGCATGACACTGCTACAGGTAGGACCATCAGTCTATGCCCTCTGTGTTACACTACTTTTCTCCGGTGAAAAATAATAGTGTATTCCAATGGGAATGCGGAAGGCAGGCTGGTTCAGTGAGGAACACTTTAGCGCTTTTGTCAAAAACAGCCAAGAACCACGTGGGTGAGCACTGATGACTTACACACATTCATACACTTATGGCAAAAGTCAGACTTTTAACAACAACGTTATTCTTTTGTGATAGGTCCATGGAGAAATATAGGATTTTTTCATACCTGCATTTAAATACACAAGTCAAAAAATTTCCAGAGGAAATTTCATTGTCTGAAATATACACCTAGCATATTTAGTCACCGTAGGAACTGTATGTACTTACCAAGGGGCAGGATTTTGCCATAATTTAAACTAAGAAACTATTCTTTTCGATCCCCACATTCAGGGAGAGGAAAAAAACTAAATCAAAAATACCCTCCATACAGACACATTTGGACCAAGTTTTCCCCATACTGTTATATGGGTGTCAAGAACAGCTTTTATTTTTATTTTTTTTTTAAATAGACAGGACTTCCCCCCTCCCCTCAAGTAATTAAACTATGAAAACCTATAAATAGAATAAGATAACAGAAAGAAATGACATGGAAAAGCATTTTCACAATCAAAGATAACATCTTACGCTTCTTTTTAAAGCACATATAAAAAATTAATAGGGAATATTCTCATCTTTATATTAAATGAATAGAATTTCTATTGTATTCAAAAGTAGTATTTCAGCATATGCAAACTGTGCATCTTCCCTTTATTATTCAGAATACATTTAGTCTATAAAAATACAGTATAGACAAATTTTTCTTATTCCCTGACATAAGAATTCACAATTTTGACACAAAGAAAAAAATGTAAACTTTGATTACATTCAAAATATATTTCTTAAGTTCTGAGGTGTTGGCAGTCAGAGCTCTTGGCATACAGCAGAATTACATTATTGCAGAGCCTTTACACAAAAGTAGCTTACTAAATTAGAGACATTGATTTTTCTCTCATATTTTTGTTGCTACCAGGAGGAAAAGAAAGGCTTTCTGCTATGAAAGGTTTGGGTGAACGTGTTACTCAGATGAACAATTCGGCCCTGACTTCCAGTGCTACTTCGCTCCACAATCACACGGGGCATCTGAACAAGCTGGAGAGGACTCTTCCCATCCTTTAGTGCCTGAGTAAGGTTCAGTATCTAAAAGATGAAAATGGAGAGCATTTGGTATCATTATGGTTTAACATAACCTTAACAGACAAGATCACCCTCTGCACGATTTACTGCAACTCAGCTCTTCTGGCAACTCCACTTTAGACTCACATCATCCAAGGCACTTTCTGCAGACCTGTGCTAGCTTGTTGATTCTCTGCATGTTCTTGAGGTAAACAGTTTTCCTGTTGGTTTGAGGCCCTCTCTGAGAGTTTTCCTCTATTTTGCAAAAAGTCTAATTTTAATTGATTTTGACATCTGGGATTTAAAGATCTTCCCCTTTACAGTAGTCTCCAAGACATACTGTTCTCTAGCCTCCTTGTTTTTATCAACTAGGTAGTTTATTCTTTTAATTCCTGAAGTTTTCCAAGAGTAACTGACAGCATTTTTTCCCCTCTAATCCACGCCTGAGAACCTAGCATCTCCTGCAGTAACAAATCCAGAGGGTGGGGGATGCTAAAGCAAAACAAGGCTCTACATTTTACCTTTACAGTGAGAAATCAATGTAGCTGCCCTCAGCCAGATGCCTCTATTTAGAATTAAACAGAGAATAGATTAAATAGAGATTAAATAGAATCACAGATGCCTCTGTGATTCTATTTAGAAGAAAGGCTTTTGGTTTCTTTTGATTATGTAGATTTTTTTTTTCCCTTGAACCTTTTGTTTAATAACTTCCCTGCAGCAAACTACTTTATCACAAAAAAAAAAAAGCTACTTAGCACGGTTCAAGTTGAATGAATACAAGATATTTTTTATATCTCTGAAATAAAACAGCCAGGTAGTGAGTATGTATTAAACAGAGAAATAACACTTTAAAGAGCCAGTCTTACCTGCCCTCTCATAACGGACATTTGGTTTTCAAAAGTAGCTTTGTCAAACCCTTTATCAGTCTTCAGTAAAGAGAATAAATAGTTGTTATTACAGGAAATGACCATTTGTTTTTAGCCACATACTTAGCATGCAAATTCATCACAGAACCACAGTATACACAGTCACATTTATCAATATTACAGTATTTTCTGAAAAGTTCAAATAGTTATTGTATGATCCACAAAAAAGGTCTCTTGTTACAGCAAATATGCCTATATGAAAATAAAGAATTTATCATAATCATAAAAGCAAACCCCATATATCTATGGGTTTTTTTAAAACATTTCTAGGTAGGCTTGATATCATCCTATGATGTTGCACAACTCCAGCTTGCAAAGCCTGCCTTTACTAAGCAGTACTTCCTCCTTCAGATCTACTGATTGCCACAGTGATCATCACACAACGTGGAGTTGTTTTGACCACAACTGAGTCAAAACTGTAAATATTAGTGAACATTTTTCAGGAACTACTGAAACACTGCAAACACATTCACGTTTTCATTACATGTCATAAATTACCACTTCTGTCAACCCTTAGTCTTCAATATTAGATACGTTTATGTATTTTATGAATTATCCCTACCAAAGCCTAACATGATTCATAGAATGTTTCAAAATGAACAGTCCTTTGCATGTAAATACCGCAGCACAATTTTCATATATTTAGATAAAATTTTCATTTGGAAACTCATTCAATAAAATACTCAAGATTCTAGTGTCAACTTAGCACAGTAAAGATATGTAAAATTAATGATATGAAAATCACTGAGGTACCTAAGGTTAGAATAAATACAATATTCTCAGGTTGCTACAGTTTTTGAAGTATGTGTGTACATGTGCATACATATGTGCATGAGCACATGACACCCAGACACATGAGTAAGATTTTACTCACATGTTTGTTATTAGTCAACTAGCTTTAATTAACACTTATGTAAGAGGTAACTGTGGTTTTGGGTAAGCTGATTATTATCAATTGGTCACACCAGTGAGAGCTTCCTACAATTATAAACCCTTTCTGCCATGTCAGCATTACACCTAAAATTGCACAGGATCACAACATACACAGGCTAAATTCATGAAAAGAAAAAAATCTCTAACTGTTCCATTACAACTATTAGCTATTTCAATAAATTTCAATTTAAAGCAGCAACATACTCACCTTAAACAGTTCGTAAAGGTCTTCACAAAGATCCTGCACGAAGTTCATATCAGAAATTCGAGGAAGAACTAAATCTCTGGTCTCCTGAGAGAAAGGAACTTTTGCTTGAGAAAGCCAAGCCCAGTGAAAGGGATCTAATAAAGAAAAACAGTTACACTGACAGATCAGCAAAGCCAGAAATTAAATGCTTACTCTGGATATAATACTCTGGTGTCTACTAAACATTCGGGCACAGATTTTTTTTTTTTTTTTTTTTTTTTAATACATCATCTATTTCCCACATACTTTTTTGTTTTTCCTCCAAACAGCAAAGAATACATCCTAAGTAACAAATACTTACTTGAAGCAGAAAGTAAAAGGTATAACAGCTAAATACTGTAAATAGAGGTAAATGCTTTCTCTTACTTAGTAATACAGCTTCCCTTGGAGGTAAAATAATGGCTATCATCAAATAAAACATTTTTAGAAGCATGACTTATACTGAAAAATTAGCAAGAGAGGTAGCTACCATCTTTTATTAAATCTTTAGTTTACTAAGATGCCTTCTAAGCAGATTGAGAAAAACATTTTTTATTTTCCCCCAAGAGTATTTAGTATTAGTATTGGACTATACAGTAATTTAGGTTAGAAAGGATCTCTGACAGTAATTTAGTGCAGAGAATACGCCACAGCATCACCCAGGCTGTTAAGAACATGAAATGCTACCAGCCCAGTGCAGAAGGCGCCTAGTGGTGGACACCACCTGAACTGTCTAGGACTCATCACGGCCTTGGAGCCTGACAGACCGGCCAGTCTTCCTCCCACCTCACAGTCCGTTTCTCCAGTCCGTACCTCATCCTTTTGCCTACAAGGATTCTAAGGAAGGCCCTGCTAAAGTCAAGGAAAACAATAACCACAGCTCTCCCTCACGAATGGGCTGGGCCTCTCCAAGAGCTCTCCAGTTGGTCAATCCATGTAAATCCCTGCATGGAGAACAGGGCGGGCATGGGGAGGCCAGCACTTCAGCACGGCTTTCCAGAGGTTTTGCTCCACAACCTTCCTGGGGACAGAGCTTAGGCCAAGCAACCCACAGTTCCTCACACCCACGTCCTGCCACTTAGAAAGGTTCCTCACAGAAACCTGATCTAGGAATATTTATTTAGCAGTGAGCCCCCAACAGATGATGAGTCACTTACACGCTCTCCACTCATCAGGATGCTTAAAAGGAAAAGCTAACCCGTTGTCAATTGCAGCTATTTTAATAATAGGATCTTTAGTTACAGTCCATTGGATATCCTGCAGAAAGAACGTTTCCAAATGAAATACGCATGCATACAAAAGAGCAAGAGATATTAAGGATACGATCCACATCAAACAAACTCAAGCACAGAACTCTTACTCTGGCATCAGTGAACAGTAGCTCTTTTCCAAATAACAATATAAAAAAGAGCAAAGACATAATTGAAGCAATGCATTTCAACAGACAATTTTTACTATTATAGACAAGCCTAATAAAGAAAAAAGCTACAGAACAATAAAAATAACTTGCAGAGTGATTTTATCCAGACGAGTCTATTCTGAGCAGCTTGTGCATTTACCTAAATACTGCAGTATCAGATTCCTTTACCATGCACCAGCAATAAAGTCATTCACTCCCCCACAAGACCAAGTTATTACAGCAAACAGTGCATGACCACCCTCCTCTTACCTTATCTGACAGATCGGTTCCATCATCTTGTTTTTCATACCTGACCAACCAGTTATCATTACCTCTGTCTTTAAAAAGGAAAACGCATGTCAAAAGTCATTTATGAAGAATTAGTCATCTAAAAAGGCATGCAGCAATCAAGAATTTATCAATAGCCTAAGTGTTCACAAACTTGGACATCCCAAAAAAGTGTATGTTTGCGTGTATGTATATACTTTATATAAATATTATCTATATAAATATATATGATTTGGAGCTTTATTGAAGGATTTGGAGCTTTATTGAAGGATTCATAAAAGTTGGTCTCCTGGAAAGACCAAGTTTAACACAGGTTTAATCACATACTATTTTTCGTTTCTCCCACTCATGAATAGAATAAAAATATCAAGAAAACTAAAAAACTATTTTGATTCATTGATGCAGAAAGACTGCCTGCAGAGTGCACTTTTCCTTCAAAAAAAGAACATTATCAGTAGCCAGGATGACTTAAGTTTTAAGCTTCTATATTAATGTTGGTGGGGAAAAGGAGAAGTCTCCTAAAACTGTAGAAGGCACGAGATCTGAAGAAAAGGGGAAAAGACTTTCCGTTTTCCCCTCCATCTCTGAAGACGTCATTTTCAGTTTCTGAAAAGGCCAACTTCACCACTCAGAAGAAACTGAGGTGATGAAGACTGAGAGCATCTTCCATATACACAGAAGCTCTCATAATCTTAAGGTGAGCCCTTAAGTTTAGTTAAGCATCTACTTTCAGATTTTTTTTGTATTCTACCACGATTAGATATACTGAATTAATGCAAATCATCATCCACATGGAGAAATTCTACATTTTAAGCATCTTCCCCACAATTTTAAGGAATTCATAGAAAACTGTTTTCGTCTTGTTCCACAGCAAGCTGTTTTGGAGCACTCAGTTCTGTTAGAGCTGACAGATCACAGTAGCAGCAAGAAAGCAGTGTGTCCTGTCTTCTCAAGCTAACTTGAGTCTGTTGCTAAAAAAAGGTCATGGTGACTTATCTTCAGCTGCATTTCTTTCTAGTAACTGAATTTAAGAAAAGGAAAATAAACTTGGGCTGGTGTACCTAAGAACAGTGAAGGAAGCACTTGGATAAAATGGTCTTTAGATCCCCGAGGAAACAATTCACCTGTACAGCCAATAAAAGAATTCCGGCCTCTGAGCGAAGGAATGCAGGGGAACTGAGATGTACATCACAGCCCTGTTTCAGTGGTTGATGATAATATAAGTAAAACGTTATTTTGCACTCATGCAGAAGCTAGTGGTTGTTGTTAGGCTCCAGTTTAGCTGTAGTTTCTCCTATGGCCCCTGAAACTCCAGCATTCCGTGTACCTTCTGAGGAAGGGAAGCAGACAGCTACAGCCTACTGACACATTTCGAAGGACAATGAAAAGCATTGGCCTTCAGTTTCCTCAGTTGCTTAAAACCATCAAGTAACCGCCAAAGAGGGCTGCTTGAATCTTATCATATATGGTAATTTTCATGTTTGAATCCAAAACAGGATTTGTTAAGTTTGTAAGCAACATTCTGACCTCCAATTGTATGTGGGAGGGAAAGATGGGAAATGCAATCATCACCCAGCGCTGCCTCAAGAGAGTAGGGATGCACCAAAGGATGCTGTGAACAGATACCTGTATTTCTGATGATATAATCCAAGATAACCAATCTTTCAAATTGTGACTGAAATTCTTTCCTTGTATTCTCAGGTAGAGGATCAGTTTCAAACTTCCTGAGCCAGTAGTCAGCTTCCTTATATCCTTCAACAAACAGCTGCAAGGAGCCAACCTGAAACATTAAAAATACTGATTTAGGAAATGCACTTACATAGGTCATTTAAATAATTTTAATACTAACTGAAAAAAATAAAAATAAAAAGATGACACTCTAAGTTCTGAACACAGAAGATATGTAGCCTTGCCAAAATGCTCTGCGTCATAAAATAGTAATACAACTAAGTGTTTTTTCTTTCACTCTAAATCTTAAAAAAAATGCTGCAAACTCAAAACTTCCTTTTCTTAAAGAAAAAAAAGAAAAAAGAAAAAGAAATAAGTGTTGTCTAAGTTTTAAATTAAACATCGTTTAAACACTCATTGAATTGACCAGGAGAAAAGGCAGACAACCAACCAAACACGGAAAAAATAGTCAAGAGCAAAAAAAGAGAATATTTTAATTGTTACTTCTCCAGGAAAAAGTAAGATTGCAAACTGATAAAAGTGGCTAGATTACAGAAGCACTGTAAGAGAAGAATGAGCCGATCACTTATGTAGAGAGAAGAAAATGCATAAACCACTTTACAGGCTTACCTTAGGAGGTAGTCCAATTCTATTAAACTTTTTAGCAACTTTTGGCACTTTTTCTAAAGCATATTTTTTTCCTCTCGACTTTGCACGATCTATTGCACTGTAGTTAAAGGTCTCACTGACAAGCCAGACAACCTTAAGATATAAAAGTTAAAACATAGCTAAGAGCTGTTTATTTTTAATTACAGTGTTACAGCAGGTTTAATGCTTACCAAAAATGCAAAAAATGCAGTATCTTTTTTTTCCTATATAGACAAACTTCACAGGAAAAGATGAACACATTATTTTATGCATTCTGAACAGATTTTTTTTTTATTAAAATACTTAATCAGGTATCTTTATCTACTGCTTTTTGCAATCTTTATGATCCTCACCAAAACATCAAGTATGAAAGCACCCAAAAGTACTGGAATAGTTTTCAACAAAGAAAAAAAAAAAAGATGTCTTCAGACCAAAAACTTACTTTTTACAACAGATTCTCACAGTCAGACAGCATGTCAAACCACAGTACCTCAGCACTTGCAATAGTTTAGAAATGATTAGGGCTGATAATATTATACATAAAGACATCTTTACAACCACAATCCAGAGAAAGATAAGCCTGTGGTTGTGTATTTTTTACCTTCTAGTAACTTATGCAATTTAATTTTACCTTAGTTTTAGGTACAACTCCTAGTCCAAGCTTGTCATCCACAAGATAGGCACCAGCTTCAGAGAGGTATCCCTGATTCGGAACGAGGCAGCCTCTGCCAAAGCAGCAAGGACAACAAATCTTGTGAAAATATTTGGTCCACTTTGGATTTAGATGTCCATAAGGCTCTTCAGATTTTGGTTTGAACACTCCAATGCTTTTCTAAGATACATAATATAAAATTTAAGTACAAACACTGGAATTGTAAAATATTTATACTTTCAAATAACTGATTTGCAAAATGAATTCAAATATTATAAACTGTATTTTCTGATTTACTCTTTTCAGATGATGAAATAGTAAAACTAGAAATAAAAAACAGCATTCTAAATAAATTTATCACCAAATGCTTGTACAGAGGTAGCACAAATTTAAAATAAACTCTTCACAACAAAGCAGATCTAATATTTACTAACTTTTCAAAATTAAAAAGGACTATCAGTTTTTGCAACCTAACAGCAGTTTTAAAAAAAATCAAGTTGCAGGATCCCTGCTAGTTCATTGACTTTCCAGAGCAAGACACAATGTTTTTAGAAAAGTGACAAATATATTTTGTTATTAACACACAATGTATTGCATCTAATCTTTCATATCTAATTTATTGCATTTTGATAAGATATATTGCAGAGTAATTCTGCCACTGTTTGATGTCCATTCCAGAGATCAGTATCATCTTTCACAGCTGTAGCAAAGCTGACAATGCTTCACATTATCAGTCATATTTCACCTTGGAGAGATACAGCAAAATTTAAAATTATTCAAGAGTATTGCATCCTACTTGGGGTACTCTACTTGAAGAAAGGTATGAATGGAAGAAAGTTGAAAGACAGTGAAAATAACCAGAAAAATACAAATAATGAGAAACACTATGAACTGGAATTGATTAGCCTAAGACCAGTAAAAGGTGACACAAAACCTCTAACTAAGCAGAAACTTTTAAGTGCAGAGAGGAGAGGAACAACAGATCTGCTGTGGCAGTGAGGATGAGCCTTTAATCCCTGCAGGGAAGATGCAAGGAAAATCCTTTGGCACATGAAGAGTAGCTCAACGCTGGAACGCGCTGCCTCGTTGTGGAGTGTCCATGAGAGAATGTGGCCAAGGACAGGTTAGCCAGGCGCTCATCGGGAATCACATAAGATGATCCTGTTCTGCAAGGCAGGGACTAAGCTTGCCTCCTGCACAACTCTGCATTTGTTGGCCTCAAACCCCGTGACCACCATTGCACTAAAATACAAAACCTTCTCAGCAGCTGCGACACACTCAGGCCTAATGCCTCAGACCCGTATAACACCATTCCTACAGCTCACATTTAGAAATGGGGCATCTTTATTCCTTCTCACAGAGCCATGATAAGTCAAATTCATCTCAGACACATCTCTTCAGAAAGCATTTTCACATATTAGTTCTCTCCTAAAGTCCTAACTACAGCTGGTTCCCTCAAAAGCCCCAATTGTCCACAGCTGCACTACCAGTCTCATAGCTGTTTTACACCCAACAGGTAAGATAATTTATGCTAATTTATGAATAAGATTCCTGGCAAGCCAAGAATCATGCTCCTTCAGCAAGTGTTGGTTTACCTTGAGACTAGTTCCCTAGATCCTAGCAAGCTTTCATCTCCTTTTAACCTTGCTCTTGCAAGTCATGCCTAGAGGGAATTTCTTTCATTCACTTTCTAAACAGAGTACCCAAGACAGACATCAATAGCATCACCTATCTCATCTGTTTCATTTTTTAATCAATTACTAAGAGAAATAACTTATGAATCATCACTATCTGCATTCGTCCTATAAATTAACTTTCCTATCAACAGAGGAAAGAAACAGTGACATTTATGTCCTTTGAACTTTTGGGTTTCAGGATGCTACTATCTAAGACTCTAAGTTTACACTTGAAATCATTACTAAGTATGCACAAGCACAGTCCTAATTCAGTCCAGACCTCTACAAAACACTTTTATGCTTACAGTAAATGTTTCATGTAAGATGACAATTTGGAATGGAAATTAATGCTTGCTGAATATATTACTGAATCAGCAGGTTGGAAGTTTTGCATCACACTCGGTGCTGGATTTATTTGGTATACTTCTTTAGTCAAAGTTCCAACAATAGTTTAGAAGCATTAAAAGGTTATTTAACTGAATCTACAGACTCACAAAGCCTGCAGCTTCTAGTTTCCCCCAAAAGTTGGTGCTAAATTTTGTAGAGCCATTGAAATTAAAGCCTAATGCAGAATGGGGGCAGCTCTGCACGTAGACAACCTACCAAGCTAGTCCTAACTTTGCAAGACAAAATTCACTGGCTCCCTCAGCATTACCGGTTAGTCAGAGGCCGAGGGGAAGGCTGAAGGCAAAGGGATGTTGCAGAAGAGCTTGGTCATGGCTTTTACTCGGCCAAGCAGCAAGCAACGAACACAGAAACATTCATTTCACTGGGAAGAGGGCTCCTGGAGGACGCATCAGCATACAGGTGATACAAATACAAGCACAAAGGTAATTTTATTTGACCAGCTTTGGTTTTGTCTTTCTGGTAAAACCAGAGAAACCTAGACCTCAGAGAAGAACTAGCTAAACTTAGTTTAACTTGTAGCTAAACTTCGTATGAGTTCCAGTAAACACTTTGGTAGCTAACAAGTAAGAAAGCTGAACATTTTTAATAAGCTCTTTCTCAGGGAGGAGGAGATTGCACAAGAAGGAGAGCAGGAGAAAGCAAGTCACAAAACTGGTCCTAGGGAGAATGATGAAATACCCTGGAGCTGATCTCCAGCAGCATGCAAGACCCATTCTACAAATGGGAGTTGCACTGCTGACAAAACAAAGTCTATTAGACCTTTAAAATAAATAATCAATCCAGATAAGCTATACATTTAGCACAAAAAATAATGGAAAATTGAAAGAAAGCAGAGGATTTAGTATTCCTGCAGTCTCTTGCTAACAAATGCATTCATATTTTGCAGTGATATTCCTTTCATGGGCTATGCAAAAAAGAAAATTGTTCTTTAGTCTTACATTCAGGTATGACCTGCATGGGGAAGAGATAACGTAGGGAGGAAGAGGTAAAGACAACAGCAACAATAACAAGCATTTGCAGGAACCTAGATGGGAACAGAAAACAGCACTGCTGCCTTCAAAGAAAAACAAAAGTAAAACCGACTACTATAGTTAACAAAGTGGTGAACCCGCTCCCACCAGCCACAGGACACAGCAAGTCATCGTTAGTCATCCAGAGCAACCGAAATTTAAGTCGTAAGTGACTTCAGACAATGCAGATTTGCAAACACAGAAATCTAGAACAAACATCTTTTTTTGCTAGTAATTTCTCCACTCTTTTTTTTTTTTTTTAAGCATAAAACGTCTTGATTGCACACATTAGCAAAAGAAAGCTTTCAACAAGCACTGAAACAGTTTTAAACTATTCTTAGCATAACTCCATAAAATACACAAGTCATACATCTGATTTTCGAAAAGCATTGATTTACGCAAATATTTGGTTACTTGCTCAGCATATTTCTACAGTGTTAATCAAATAAGATACAACCTTCTTTTAATCTTCCACTTTAAAAGCAGGATCAAATTTGAATATACATACCAAAATAGAGGAAATGAAGGAACTGATCTGAAATCAAAGCCTACTGAAATTTAAACAGAGGCTTCATGTTTTTATCACTGTATACAAATAAAAGAATCCTAAAAAAACAAGTAAAAAGGTTTTTTTTTCTGACTTCAGAAAGACTGTCTCCCCAAATCCATTTGACAATGATTTCAGCATACAATAAATTATCAAAAGATATTGAAATGGTTTTCCACCTTTTAAGCTAATTGTTGATAGCTCTGATAGTGCCTGATTAAGCAATAATGTGCTCACCCCCTTTGGATCCTTAACAAAGTAACTCCCACTGGATCCTTGAGAGATTCTTTCTGGAAAAACGCCACACTCTACAGCTTGTTCGGCTCTCTGAATAATTTCTGCAAATTCTGGGTCATCCAGAAATATGTTCAAGTCAACAGCATGTCCTGTACTTCCTGAAAAAAAAAATACAAAACACTTTTCAATGCAATTTAGAATGAGAATTAACATCACAAGTATATACATGGAAAATCTATAAGCTTTTCCTGTTAATGCTGACTCAAGAGAAGACTGAAAAAATATCAACCTATTAAATCATTGGTGATTTGACCAAATGCCTAATAAATCTTTTTTTTTTTTTTTAAATAAAACTGCTCTGCAATAACTAGAGATCACAATTGCAAAATTTCTGTATTGTTCAAAAGTATTTTAAAACTTCTTTTGTATAGACAAACCTAAATTAATAATAATAATAAAAAATAAGACGACAACAGGCTGGGGGAAGGATGGGAACACTAAAAGCAGTGTCAACTATCTGCAAGTTAATTGTCCATTAAGCACTAGGCATTAGAAGGGTATCATTTGGCTAACAGCTTTGCTGGCTTATTCACCATCCAGGGCACTGTGATGTTATCCACTGAACAGCCTATCGCTTGGATCACTGACAAGCAGAATTAACCCCAATCAAATACTGCCTGCCATCACCAGTCTAACATTAAAGCATTATGAACAACCTACAGGAATTTTAGGTACCTTAGCCATAACATGAGCTGTTTGCAGAGACTAAACATTTTATAAAAGAACTTGGAAACAGCTGTCAAAGACTTCATTTATTCACCGCTGTTTAAAACCCTGGAAATTATTTTACAAGTTCTGGAACGGGAAATGTCAGTAATTTACTGAAGTAAGTTTTAAACCACATTCTTTTGGAGAGCGTTTCAAGGGGTCTGAGGAGCCCAAACCTGGGCAGCCCAGGCAGGAGCTGCGCGGAGGCTCCGGGCCTCGCTCCGGAGGCTCCGGGCCTCCACTCAGACACAGCACGCGGCAAAGCCCCAGCGCGTGTCACAAACTGGAAGACGACGAAGCTTTTTTGGGCGCTCTCTGAGCGCCCAAAACTACAGCCCACTGGGTCAGAGGGACCAGCGCAATTTGAAAACTCGCGCTTTTGTTTCTTCAAAAGGGTCAATCTAATCGGGCTTCCCACGTCTGCGCTGTTGCGTTTGCCTTTTTAAGCGCTCCAACGCGCAATTCCTTCCCGGTACGCCTGGCCCACAGTCCCACGCGGGTCAGGCGTTTCGGGAGCGAGGGAGCCGTTGCCGCCGGCGTGCGGCCAGGCGCGGAGCGGGGCGGCGCGCCCCGCACAGCCCCGCACAGCCCCGCGGGGCCGGACCGGGCCCCGCCGCAGCCCCCTCGCCCCGCCGCTCGCACCCCCGCACCTCGCCCACATCGGCTCGAGGCAACGCCAACATCCTAAACACTCACGCGTGCCACGGGAAATAAATAAAGAACTAAATGCATCAACAAGCCCGAGCTGGCAGCACAGCCTTTCTCGCCGTTCCGCTCCCCGAGCCCCCGGCTCCCGCCGTGCCGCGGCCCCGCGGGGGCGGGCGGGC